TTCAAGTCTTGTGCAAAAACGCATGATCGCACGGGCCCGCCCGGTGCGTTCCAGCCTGGGTTTCATATTAATCAATGCCACTACATTGAAAGACCGCCAAAAAAGTTTTACCTAAGATGCGAGAAATATTAGACAGTGAAAAATATTTTGTTCAAAATGTGTAAGGAGTTGCATTCGTCTTCAGCATGAATCGTATTGTTTTACTGCTATGCATTGAACGAATTCAAATTACGTTTATTTATAAATTACAGCTTCCAGGCATTACTTCAAGAACCAAAGCGCGTCCCGGAAAGTGATGTCGAGGCGCGTGCCGCATACTTTCGTGAGCAACGCGACAAAATGTTGCAAATGAAGCGAGTAGTGCGGGAACAACAATTTCAGGTCTATTTTTGTGCCTTTCTTTAGGAAGTCAATGCACCATACAATTCTGGGTCGGGAAAGAAAACAACGGAATTTGGGTTTAGACCAGTAAAAGGCAGAAGGGTGCAGAAACGATCATGTATTTGAAAAGTGAACACATTTGATCGACATTACTGCTGCAGCTCGTCTGTCTAGCTTTTAACAGTAGCGTGCTTTGGCAATGCACTACAGCTTTGGTGGCTCCAGACCCAATGGCTCTTCTCTTAGTCAAAATGGAACGCATGTTTTTGCTTTGTACCTATTTACTGATGCATGACATTTTGGCGTTTCTTGTCGCATCCTCACTGGTCTCTGTAATAATATTCGATTGAGAGAATGATGTTTTGCCTTTCCATTATGACCATAAACAGTCAGACTGTGCGCCATATGCAGGATGTCATTGCGTCCACGCGAGAAAGTAAAATCCGATGAGCAGTGCATGTTGTTCGCACTACGGATAGCCGGTGATAGTCGCGCACCAGCGAATAATCTACTCGAGCGACCTTTTAAAAGATTTATGTAAACTTTTCATGTGTTTAAACCAAAAATTTCTTGGTTAAAGGTCAACACTACTTTTCCTTCCGCAATATTGTCACTGCATAACACTTGTTCTTGTGATATGCTTATTACTGAAACAGAAATTTGATAAACTAGAAGAATTCTTATATAAAAAGAGTAGATTAATCAAAGATTGCAGGAACTAGCTGAAAGCACAGCAAAAGAACGGCCAAAGACAGCGAATGCTGCACGCAGTGCGATGTCTGGACTGTCATCTAGAAAACAAAGTACATTGGATCACGAGCTTCTAGAAGCAAGAAGAGCACTTGCGGCTAAACTGAAAATAAAGGTGGAAGCGGAGTGATAAGGAAATCAAAACATTTATTTTTGCAGTCTTTAGCCATTTTCATGTTTTTGTGCTGCAACAGTTGCAAAAATAAACATTTTGTTCTGTCTTTGTCTTTGTGTGTGTCATTTTTATGTACGCATGTGTGTAACAGTGTGTGTGTGTGTGTGTGTGCGCCACGCATTCTGTTAGTGTGTGTGTGTGTGTGTGTGTGTGTGTGTCTGCATAGTTTTGTCTCGAGTTTTCAACTAAAGGACCGGAAAAGCTAGAAACCAAAGTTTTAAAAGTTTGTTCTTTGCCCAGCTGCAACGTGCAAATTTAAGCTCAGCCTTCACGTGCCCCTAGGCCTCAAATACAATCACGTGTAAGTTTTGGCTCTGAAATTATTACACCAGGAACTACAGAAGTCAGGAAGCTGAAATTTTGAAAGGATTTTCAACGTCTACGCGTAATCTAGAAATTCCAAGTTCACCTTCTGTATGTGCCATGATCCCATACGAAGTCATGTGAAAGTCTTGCCAGGAAAATTTGCTAATCCGAAAACTCGAAAAGCCAGGAAAATGAAATTTTAGGAACATGTTACTTGCTGATATGCACCATCAAAAATTTTAGATTTGGCTTATAAGTATGTCTATTTCCCACGCACGGACGCATGAACTTTTTTGTGGGAAATTTTCCAAATCCCGACCGGGCGAAAAAGAAAGCTGAAATTTTGGATTTCTTAATTATATGCAGTTCCGAATATTTTAGAATTAGTTACTACGTAAGCCTTTATTTCGCGTGTCGACACATGAATGTCTAGGACCGCCAGAATATTGGGACGATTTCTGCGAAAATCAAGCAACAGTAACATTTTTAATAGAAAGCGTCCACTGGATAGAACTACACAAAACGCATGATCGCTCCAGCTACCCAATTGCCCGCTGCCATTTATTTGGGAAAAACACGGGTTTTCGGCCACATTATCAACATTGGAATCAGTCTGCCATTTCGTGCGTCGAACAGTAGGCTTGCTCTTCAAGCACCATCTACGAAGCAGCTATCATATCGGCTTCATGTATTTAGAGCGATAAAAAAAGCACACTGATAGCGATGAAGAAGCGATGAAAACAGCGATGAAAAAGCACACCGTCGAGAAGCTTTGTGTGTGTGTGTGCATATATATATATATATATACATGTGTGTGTACGTGTGTATGTGTTCAGATTTTTGCTCGAGGTCTTCAACTTGGGAAAATAGAGAAATTAAGCTCGAATTTCAAAAGAACGCTTTCTGTCTATGTGCGGCCCTGTGGATTTGAATTTAGTTTTCATTTACGTTTGGGTTTATAAACAGGCACGTGAAAATTTTGGTGAAATATTTACTAACTAGAAGACCAAATAAGGTAGAATTTTGCAATGATGATTCTTGTCCAAGAGCGACCGCAAAAATTTATATTCGTTTCCACGCGCCTTGCGTTTCACGTACAAGTAAATGAAAGTTTTGTTGTGAAATATTTAACTCGGAAATCGTACATGATAAAGAATTCTCTGTTCATGTGCGGTCCTGAAAATTTAAATTCAGTTTTCATTTAAAAATACGCCTCACTCACGGACAAGTGAAAGTTTTGGCAGGAGATGTAACCAGATAAGATGAAAAGCCGATATTTTGGGAGGAGATTCCTGTCCTTTGAAGTTGAAATTTAGCCTTCATACATACCTGCACTTCACGAACGGATGCGTGAAATCAGGCGAGAGGTTGCTGGTATCTTTCCACTTTCGCTGAGCAGAACTGTGCAAAAGTACTATATCATTGGCTGGTATGTATCGCAATCAGTTTTTTATAATTCACTATTAGCTACGCGTTTTTATTGTGCAGCGCTATAGAGCTGCTACAATAAGCAAAAACACATACTGTCGTGGGACTCGCGGTGTGTGCATGTGTATGTACGTGTTTGTGTGTGTGTGTGTGTGTGTGTGTGTG